CATCGACGTCATTGTCATCATCATGAGCAGCAGCATCATCAGCTGCAGCATCATCAGTATCATCATGGTCATCATGAGCATTGCCACCATCATCATCAGAAACATGATCACCGTTATCAGCATCATCGCCATCGTCAGCATCAGCATCAGCATCAGCATCAGCATCATCAGCATCATCATCATCATCATCGTCATCATCATCATCATCATCATCATCATCATCATCATCATCATAATCATCGTCATCATCATCGTCCTCACCATCGACACCATCATCAGCAAATATCATCAGAGCCGGCACCATCATCATCATCATCACCACCAGCATCATCATCATCATCATCATCATCCTCATCATCATCATCATCATCATCATAACCACCGCCATCAGCATCATCAGCATCATCGTCAAAATCATCCTCATCATCCTCATCATCATCAGCATCATCAGCATCATCATCGTCACCATCGACATCATGATCCTGAGCATGACCACCATCGTCAAGATCGTCATCACCCCCACAACCAGCAACATCAGCAGAATCCCTCATCATGCGCCTCCTCCTCCTCGTCCTTCTCCTCGTCGTCATCATCAACAGATTCATCGTCCTACTCAATATGCTTCTCCATATGGTTCCTCCTCCTCCTCCTCCGCCTTCTTCCATTACATCCTCATCCTCCCCGCTCATTGTGGTCACCCCATCCATCTTATCTCTTGAGATCCACCCCAGGAACCCTCCCAGGTCGAGGACCTGCAGGCCCATGTTGCAGTTTCTGTGTCTGAAGTGCGGGTGTTGGTCTCAGCGGTGTGCCCGTAAGCTTGCGGACGAGTGTAGGCGCCCTCCCCGCAAAGGAGCTGAGGTTTTATCCAAGTACGCCCAAGGTCTTGGGCCTAGCAACCGTGCACGCCAGTTTATAGATCGTGCTGCCCGTGCGCACCACCTTCCCCCTCCGTCCACGGGCCCGAAGGTGCGGACTCGCACGACGGTCCCCACAGTGTTTCAGGCGGAGGGTGTGGGGGTCCCAGAGTATGAGCGCCGAATGTCGGCGCTCAAGGCCCGCATCGCCGCTCGTGAAGCGAAGAATGGTGAAGCGTGATTTTGTTTTTGTTCGGTGGGGTGCCCTGTCGCGGCCCAGGGCGGAGTGTCGGGAGCTCCGCCCCTGGGTTACAGATGTCCACTCTGATGGGCACCCCGCCGATTAACACTTGCGAGTCTCTTCCCCCTGGGGCTGCTCTAATCTAATCTAATCACCCCATCCATCTCCCCATCCTCCTCCTCTTCCTCTTCATCTTCCTCCTCCTCCTCCTCGTCCTCCTCCTCCTCCTCCTCCTCCTCCTTCCTCCTTCCTCCGTCCCTCCCGCATCCTCGCTCGCTGCCCCCCGCAGCTGCCAAACATCATCACGCAGCTCTGGGACATTCCGGCGCAGCCGTCGCGCACCATGGACCTGCCCCCGCTTCGAGGGCCCAACGGGGCTGTCTGCAAGGGTGGAGGATGAGAGCCTCGGAGGGGTGCGGAGAGAAGAAAACGGAAGACGACGGCCACGGGGACGAGGGCAAACGAGAACGAGAGCGAGAGCAGGAACGACCTTGAGGGCAGGAACGAGAACGAGGACGGATAAGAGGAGGACGAGGACAGGGAACACGGGGCACCGCAGGCCACCAGTCACAAGGCACCAGCCACAGGGCACGGACCGCCAACGGCCGACGGCGACAAGCAGAGAGCATGTAGCACGAACTGTGGAGCACCAACCCGTGGAGCACCAACCAGAGAGCACCGCTCACAAACGGCCGAATGCGGCCACCGGGGCCAGCTGCACCCACAGGTCACAAACCAGCGGCACCCCAGCCGCATGGCACCGCAGGGCACCAGCTGTGGGAGCGGCTGGCCACGACGGGCAGACGGGCAGGGAACCGTGGCGAACCGACCATAGAGCACCAGCGCCTCGGAGAACCAGCGCGCCAACAGCCGACTGCGACAGGCAGGGATCCAGAAGGGCACCAATGCACTGGGCACCAGCGCGCCAACCGCCGACTGCGACGAGCAGGGCCATTTCCTGAGCAATCAGGAAAGATTCCCGAGCTTTTCCTCCTCAGTAACGACCACATGACTCAAATAAGCAAGCGCGATGTCCCTGAGCGTGCTACATGAAACGTGCAGCCGACGATGCGTGAAACCAAACAAGCGAATAACAGGGCAGGCGACAGAGAAGGAGCAGAGGCGAAAGAGTATAGGCAGCGTGGTTCAAGCACTGTCTGGGGAATCATCTTTCGGGTTTCCCGGGACAGGGCTGAACCTCCTAGCGCTGGAGTCGACGACGGAGGCGTGGGGAGAGGTCCTGGCGCCGAACCAAGCAAATCCGCGCGGACCTCCAAACAAATATGTATGCCTGCGCCACCACGTCAGGGACACTCCCACCACAAATCCTGGGTCACTCCCGGCCGGCTTTCCACTGGATCGATTCCTGGCGGCCTGGAATAGGCATCCAGAGGCCGAGAATGGCGAAACAGCTCTTCGGACCACCCCCTTCCGCTCTGGGAGAAATCCGCCGACCCAACCGGCGTGTGTGAGAGGCCCTTCGACGCGAGGCCAGCCCAACCCAAACTGAAGTACGCCAGCCTCCTCTGAACCGTCGTCGTCGTCGTCGTCGTCGTAAGGTAGATCGAACAAACAAGGGGGGTCGAACAAACAATCTCGCAATCACGCCGAAGGGAAGCCTTTGCCCTTTGTCCCTTCCCCGCCGAAGGGGGGGTCCCAGTGAGTGGTCCCAGGGGAGGTCACAGGGGGGGGGTCCCGGGGCGGGTCCCACGGGGCCCCACGAGGGGGTCCCAAAGGGGGTGGGGGGGCCCGGAAGTCGTGACCCTCCTCCCCCTCGGGCAATCCCCCCCTGGCTGGACAAGGGGGACCAGGGGGGTGGTCTCCTTGCCAGCCCCGCCTCGGCCCCGGCCCTGGCCCCTGGCCCCATCCCAGGCCCCAGCCCCAGCCCTGGCCATGGGAGCCTGTTTTTTTTTGGATTCAGGCAAGTTTACTTGCATGGCGTTCGCCACCCCCCCCCCCCTCGCCCCTCTTCAAGCGAATACTAGCATGCAAGTGCCTTTCGACTTGCGTGATTTCCGCGCCCCCCCCCCCCGGGCTTGCTTCAGGCTCAGCCCCCCTCCCCCCCCGTCCATGCAAGTAAACTTGCCAGAGTCTAAAAAAACAGGCTCTGGCCCCGGCCCCGGCCTCGGCTCCGGCCCGGGTCCCGGCCTGGGCGCTGGCCCCAACAGGGGAGTCTCTCAAAAGAGCCCCAAGAAGGGCTCCAGAGCGTCAGCGTCGCCGCCGCCGCCGCCGCCGTCGTCGTCGTCGTCGTCGTCGTCGTCGTCGTCGCCGTCCTGATGGGTCGGCGGCACCGGCCGCAAGGCCTTCGCAATGAACAACTATACCGCTGCTGCTCGGCGGTGGACAAACCTCCCTTTGGTAGACCTCCCTTCAGTGACAACGGCCTAGGACCCAAACCGACGGACCTGAACCCGCAAAAATAGAGGCCGCGACGCCCTCTCGCGAACCGAAAACGGCCAATTCAATAATCGACGAGTCAGGGTAGGAGGTCTGTCCACCCCCGAGGAGGAGGAGGAGGAGGAGGAGGAGGAGGAGGAGGAGGAGGAGGAGGAGGAGGAGGAGGAGGAGGAGGGGGGAGAGGGGGGAGGAGGGGGAGGGGAGAGGGAGGGGGAAGAGGGAGGAGGAGGAGAAAGGAGGAGGGAGGAGGAGGAGGAGGAGGGAGGAGGAGGGAGAGGGGAGAGGGAGGAGGGGTAGGGGAGGGGGAGGGGAGGGGGAGGCGGAGAGGGACAAGCTAGGTGCGCTCGCGTCATATCTGACGTCCTACCCCTCCCTCCCATCCCTTACCATGGCGCTGATTTTCTCTATCCGCGGACGCGTGTCGTAGCGGACCTGTGGCTCCGCGCGCGCGTGCGTAGTGGGTGGTGGTGCACGTGCGTGCGTGCGTGCGTGTGTGCGTGGTTGTCGTGTGGTGGTGGTGGTGGTGGTGTGGTAGTGGTTTGATGGTGGTGGTGGTGGTGGTGGTGGTGGTGGGTGGTGTGGTGGTGGTGGTGTGGTGGTGGTGGTGGTGGTGGTGGTGGTGGTGGTGGTGGTGGTGGTGGTGGTGGTGGTTGGTGGTGTGGTGGGGTGTGGTGGTGGTGGTGGTGGTGGTGGTGGTGTGGTGGTGGTGGTGGTGGTGGTGGTGGTGGTGATGGTGGTGGTGGGGTGCTGGTGTGGTGGTGTGCTTGTGGTGGTGGTGTTGGTACTGTTGCTGGTGCGGGTGTGGTGGTGTGGTGGTGGTGGTGGTGGTGGTGGTGGTGGTGGTGGTGGTGGTGGGGTGGTGGTGGTGGTGGTGGTGGTGGTGGTGCGGCGCGGTGGTGGCGGGCGGATGGGCGCGCGAGAAAGAGGCCCGCGCTGGGGCGAGAACGCCATCCTGAACGACGGAGGCCAAACACCGATCCGAAAATGAGCCCCACGCTGCAGCGGGAGCACGATTCGGAACGATTCGGGAGCAGAAATGAGGCCGGCGCCTCAACAAGAGCAGCATTTTGGGAAAAAATGACGCCGGCGCCTCAGCGAGAGTCGTTTCCCGGGATTTCCCGGGCATCCTGTGTGTAAAAAAAAAAAAAAAGAAAAAAAAAAAAAAAAAACGGAGTACGCGGAGGGTGCGCGGCCATCACCCCGACGCCATCAGGGGAAGAGAGAGAGAGTATACTCATATGTGGAGGAGGAGGAGGAGGAGGAGGAGGAGGAGGAGGAGGAGGAGGTCTGTCCACCCCCGAGCTGCCCCGACCTCTCCCCGGGCGCATGTTCGGCCCGGAGCCCGCGCGGCCGGTCCAGCCGCGGCGACAAGAGGCGCGGGCACGAGGCATCGGCGCCTGGCCCTCCCTGGGGCCTCGCCCCTCCCCCTCCCCGTCGAGTGAAGGGGCCCTGGGACACACAGAGAAATACACACAAAGAAGAGGATTCCCCGCATTTTCCCTTACTCCTCCTCCCCCTCCCCCCTCCCCCTCTCCTCCTCCTCCGCCTCCTCCTCCTCTCCTCCCCTCCTCCTCCTCCCCTCCTCGCTCCTCCTCCCTCCTCCTCCTCCTCCTCCTCCTCCTTCCTCACCTCCTCCTCCACCTCCACCTCCACCTCCCACCCCTCCTCCTCCTCCTCCTCCTCCTCCTCCTCCTCTCCTCCTCCTCCTCGTCCTCCTCCCCCCTCCTCCTCCTCCTCCTCCTCCTCCTCCTCCTCCTCCCTCCTACTCCTTCCCTCCTCCTCCTCCCCCTCCTCCCACCTCCCCCTCCTCCCTCCTCCCGCCTCCCTCCTTCCCTCCTCCCGTCCCCTCCCTCCTCCACCTCCCGTCCTCCCTCCTCCCTCCTCCCTCCTCCTCACCCGCCTCCCGCCTCCCCCTCGCCGCCTCCTCCTCCCTCCTAAGAGATTCTCCGATTCCCCGCATTTTCCCCTATTTTCTGGGGTTTTGTCTTCCCCCCCCCACTTCCCCATTAGTTTCCACTAGTTTCCTGGGGGATCGACGATGCATTTTGTCTGTGTGTTTGTTTCCCCTCTTGACCTTCCCCCTTAGGGGGACAGAACAATGACATAAACATAAAAACTCGGAGGTCCGCGCGGATTTCTCGGATCGGCGCTGGAGACCCCTGGCGGCGCCTCCGGCGCCGCCCCTGGCGCGCTCCGCGCGCCAGGGAGGGGGGTCCAACGCCGATCCGAGAAATCCGAGCGGACCTCTGAGTTTTTATGTTGATGTCATTGTTTGTTTCCTTCCCCCTCCCCCTCCAGGCTATAAACGCAATCAGGACTATGGCGAGCGCGCCGAACACGTCGCCGGCGACGATGCGGCCCACGGCGAGCACCAGCAGCAGCAGGGCCAGGAGCCACCACCTGCCCGTTTTTGGGGGAGGCGGGCACCGGGCGCTCCCGCGCCGCGGCGGGGGGCACGGGCAGACCGGGGTGCACGACGAAGCCATTGCAGGGATCAAACCGGGCAAGGGTTAAGTCGGGCCTGTCCCCCTACAGGGAGATTTCCGACGAAAAATAAGAATTACCCCAAAAATAATCCAAAAATAGTCTGGGGATTATTTTTTTAGTATTTTGTTGACCTTTTTGGGGCATTTGGGAGGTATTTTTTTTTTTCGTCGAAAATCCCCCTGTAGGGGGACACGCCCGACAGAAGGCAAGGATGGGAATCGCTGAGATCCCGCGGCTCCCCAGAGGACGTGTCGGCGGTGGACAAACCTCCCTCCAGTAGACCACCCTTGAATACAAACGGCCTCGGACCGACACCGACGGACCTGGACCCGCGAAACTGACGGCCGGGACGCCCACTCGCGAACCGAAGACGGCCCATTCGCTAATCGACGTGTCGGGGTAGGAGGTCTGTCCACCTTCGAATGTGTCGGGCGCCGCGGCCTCCTCAGAGCGCTCCGGAGCGCTCCGGCACGGCTTTGTCTTCTTGCCCCAGACGCCGCCCGAGGAGAGTGCCCCGCCCCGCCCTGCCGGCGGCGCGCACGAGGTCAGGAGGCAAGCCCTCGTAAGAACGACCCGGGGGCATCGAGCCCGATCGAGCGCAGGGAGCCATGGCCGGACTTGAGCATCGTTTGACCGATCCCCATCCCCAGCGGCATGGCCTGGGCCCCACCGTCCGATTTACCCCCTTTGATGGGGATATAGGTCGTCCCCTTCGGGTTTCGAGGGGTGTGCCCCCGACTGGGGGGGTAATTTGGTGGGGCTCTCGACGAGGATGGGGATGGGGAAGGGGGTCGGTTAAACGATATTGAGGATTGGCCCAGATTCAGCCCAAGATGCGACCAGCGTAAGCTGGACCGAACGGGATCGAGCGGAAGTGAGCGAGGGAATGCGCTGGCTCTCGACCGCAGCTACAGTCAACCCGGAACATGAAGATGCACGATAAGGAAACAAGGGCCTTGGAAGGCCATGTTGACATTTGTGAGCGGGGCGTGGCCAACGAAAACGGCCAAGAATGGATCGAAGGGGCAAGGATGCAAGGGTACCCTTGGGAAGGCTGCCCATCTTTACTACGCGGGTTGACTGTACAAGCGACGATGCCGACTTGAACCTCCGAGGAGTCGCATCCTGAATGTTCTTGGTTTGCGGGTCGAGAGCGGGCCTCTTCCGGTTAAGAGCTAGGCGGGGCGCGCAAAGCACTAATTGGGGAGACAGGGCGCGGGCGGGCGGGGCCTCAGGCGGCTGGAGGGCGTGGGGTGCAGGCGGTGCCGAAGAGCTTGTACAGGAAAAGGTACGCCTTGGACAGGAGCCGGAGGCGAAGTCCCGGAGGGAGAGCGAAGTGGCGTTGCCGTCAACGGCGCGTCAGAATCACCATCCTCGAGTGCTGCTTGGAGATGGACGCGACCAGGTCGACGCCAGAGAGGTTCGCATCCTGAACACAGGGGGTCGCGAGAGGGGCGCGCCTTCTACAAAGGCGGGGGGCCTCTGAGCATAGGCAGCCACACGTAGATCTTCGTCGAGGATCGAGGATCGAGGATCGAGGAGGAGAAGGACGAGAAAGTCTTCCTCGTCCCCCCCTTCGAGAGGAGGAGGAGGAGGAGGAGGAGGAGGAGGAGGAGGAGGAGGAGGAGGAGGAGGAGGAGGAGGAGGAGGAGAGAGAGAGGGAGGAGGAGGAGGGAGGAGGAGGAGGAGGAGGAGGAGGAGGAGGAGGACGAGCCCTCCTCTTCCCCTCTTCAAGAGGAGTAGAAACCCCTGCAGGTCAGACTTTGAAAAACCGACTGGGGGTCAGAATTCCAAGGACGTCTGCAGCCAAGTGGACCCCAGCTGGAGTGTCCGATACCGCAGCGTCTATTGCACCCGCAAGGGGCAGAGCTCACAGCTGGTCGCAGATGAGAAGGCAGGAGGTTTCTTAGGAGCCCTCCCGGCTTCTACGAAGCCTTGTTGGAAGCCCCCAGGCCGTTCTGAGAAGGCCCCCGCCTTTGAAGAAGGTAAGCGGTTGTTTATTCTGGATTTCGACGTTTGGCCGAAGGGTGAGGGCGGAAGGGGGGTCTGGGTCTGGTCAGGTGCGTAGTCGATCTGCTTCTACCAATCGCGCGAGCAGACTGGGGGGAGGGGTTCCTGTCCAGTCGTCGCCAAAAGCAGCCGCCAAAAGCAGCCAAGATCTGGTGTAAGGGAGGGGGGCGCGCATATCGGCGAAACAATATACCCGGCATTGTGCCTCTGAGCGCGGAGTGGGCCTGCCCGCAGGTCCTTCGCATAATCCTCCGAGCCTCAGTCCTCCTCCTCCTCCTCCTTCTCCTCCTTCTCATCCTCCTCTTCCTCCTCCTCCTCCTCCTCCTCCTCCTCCTCCCTCCTCCTCTTCCTCCTCATCATCCTCCTCGTCGTCATGAGGAAGTCTGTGAGGGGCCCGGACCCCCAAATTCTGAAATCTGATGGGGCGTGGCGCGCTTCCCCTGGGCCTCGGATCGTCTCCCCGCGCGACCCTTGGGGGTTCCAAAGAGGGCCCCAAGACGGGCCAAGAGGCCCCAAGAAACCCCAAAAGATGGCCCAAGAGGGCGTCGAGACGCCCAAAGATCACTCCAAGACGCCCAAGATGGCCCCAGGACGGTCCAGGAGGCCTTCAAGACGCCCCAAGAGGCCTCCAAGCGGCATCCCGAGAAGGCTCCCCAAAGCCAAAATCATGGATGTTCCTGTGGTTTGGAACGGTTTTGTCTTCTCGCCTTTTCCGCTTTCCGACAGCCCAAGACGGCCCAGCAGGCACCCAAGATCGCCCCAAGACAGCCCCAGCGGCCCCCAAGAGAGCCCGAAGAGGGCCAAAGAGGGCCCGAAGACGGCCCAAGAGGGGGAACGCGGCCTAAGAGGGCCCAAAGACGGCCCCGAGATGGGGCCCAGATGGGGAACCCGAACGGACACTTGGAGCCCTCGGCCCCGAGAGGCCACGAGTAGGCCCCGAGAGGCCCCCAAGAGGCCCCACATACGAGGCCAAGAGGCCCTCAAGAGGCGGCCACCGAGAGCGCTCCGAAGAGACCCGAAGAAGCTCCCTGAAAACTCTGACCCGCAACCCGGGCACCATAGCGGGATGGACCGAAGGCCATTACCTATGTGTATATAAATATGTAGAGAGAGACGACAACATCAACAACCACAACAACCACAACAGCCACAACAACAACAACAACAACAACAACAACAACAACAACCACAACAACGACAACAACAACAACAGTCACCACAACAACAACGACAACAACAACAGCAACAACAACAACAACAATAACAACAAAAACAACAGCAACAACAACAACAACAACAACAGTCACCACAACAACAACAACGACAACAACAACAACAACAATCACAACCACAACCACAACAACAACAGTCACCACAACGACAACAGCAACGACAACAACAACGACGACAACAACAACAGCAACAACAACAACAATAACAACAACAAAAACAACAACCACAACAACAACAACAACAACAACAACCCCAACAACCACAACAACCACCACAACAACCACAACAACAGTCACCACAACAACAACAACGACAACAACAACAACGACGACAATAGCAACAATAACAACAACACGAACAACAACAGCAACAACAACAACAACGACAACGACAACGACAACAACAACAGCATCAACAAACACAACCACTACCACTACAACAACAACAGCAACAACAACAACAACAACAACCACAACCGCAACAACAACAACTACAACAACCACAACAACCACAACAACCACAACAACAAAAGAAAGAGAGAGAGAGAGAAAAAACAAAAAAAAAAAAAAAAAAAAAAAAAAAAAAAAAAAAAAAAAAAAAAAAAAAAAAAAAAAAAAAAAAAAAAAAAAAAAAAAACGATAGAGAGAGAGAGACAGAGAGAGAGAGAGAAAAAGAGAGAGAGTCAGAGAGATAAAACAAAAGGGAGAGAGAGAGAGAGAATCTAAGCAAACAGACATTAGTTCAAAAAATTGCAACCAAACCCGCACAAACACACAGACACACACACACACAGATACACACACACACAAATAATAATAAAAATAATTATTACATGTGTATATATATATATATAAAAATAACTATATATATATATATATATAGGGGGAACAAAAAAAAAAACGCGCCTTCTCAGAGGGGCCGCCCCCCTGGCGCCACCCCCGCCGTGCGCCCCGCCCACACCCGCCCTCCCCCAGGACCTCCATGAGCCACGAGAAACGAGACGGCGGTTCTCTGCGGCAGCGCACGAGAACCTCCCTGCGTGGCTGGACGCCTCGGTTGCGCGGCGTTTGGTGTGGCTCACTGGCTGCGCGCTCTTCCCCAAGACGTCCATGAGCCCCGAGAAACGAGACAGCAGTCCTCTGCGGCAGCGCACGGAACCCCCCTGCGTGGTTGGACGCCTCGGTTGCGCGGCGTTGGTTGGTGGCTCACTGGCTATGCGCGCTCGTGTCGCCGAGCGTGTCCTCGTGCTGATGTGCCCCCTCCCCCTCCCCCTGGTGAAAAGAGCCTCCCGTCCCATCTTGCTGACTCCCGCGAATCGGCGCGCGTCGGCGCTCATCGGCGCTGATGAATCGGCGCTGAGTCGACGCTCGTCGACACTGGATCGGCACCATCTCATCGATCGCTGGGCACTAGCCACCGCCGACGCACTCTGCAGACGGCACTGCGAGAGCACACGAGGCCCCCACTCTGCTTGCCGCCGAGGAGCTGCGCCATCTGCGGCCTCTTCGGGGGCTCTCTTCGGGCGCCCTTCGGGAGCGGCCACGAGGGGGGCGTGTCCAACAGGGGGGGGGGGGGGGGGCAGATCGTGACCCGCGCATGTGCGCGGCCCAGGGGGGGGGGGCCAGGGACGTCATGACACAAGAAGCGCCATGGAAGCTGGGAGATGCCACGGCGCCATCCCCCCCCCCCCTGGCCACCACCCCCCTCTTTGCCGCCCCCGACCCCTCTGGGCCGCCCGACCCTCGCGCCCCAAAGGCCCCGCGGCGCGCGGCGCGCGACGCCCTGCGCGCCCTCCCGCCCCCGCGCCGGCCCCCCCCCCCCTTTGGCGGGGGGCAGCTGCCCAGGCCCAGCCCGCGGCGCGCGAGGCGCGAGGGCCTGGCGCGCCCCCCGCGGGCGGCTCCACGGGACGCCCTCGCGCGAGCTCCTCTGCCAGCGGTGAGGCGCCACCACAGGGGGAGGGGGGGAACTGGCATGCGGGGGGGACGCATCGACCTGGAATCGGCGATGCAGCGCCGATAGATCGGCGACAGGCCTCCGATTGTGAATCCGAACCTTCCTGGGCAGGTTGGGGCTGTCGGGCCCTCATCGGCGATCAATGGGCGATTGAGGGGCGATGCATCCCCCCTTATGCCTATCCCCCCTATCGTTGCCCCTGCAAGCGCCACTCCCCTCCCTGGGCTCCCCCCGCCACGCGCCCAGCTGGCGGCCGAGCTCAAGGAGGACGCTGCCCTCGGGGCTGCCTGGATAGTCTGCGGCTGAGGGGCGGGGCGGGTCCGGCGCGCTTGAGGGTGGAGGGGCCCAGGGACACACAGATAAATAGACACGAATAACAGGATCCCCTTATGTTTCCACATTTTCTGGGCTTTCGTCGTCCCCCCCACTTCCCATATTTTCCCATATCTTCCTGGGAGTCGACGATGAGTGTGCTTCTTGCCCTCTTGAGAGGGGCAGGATGGGATGGCGGAGAGCCCGCAGCTCAACCGCTCATGGCATTCGCCACCCTGCCTCCCCACCCCAGCAACTACGGCATTGGCTCCCGCCTCCGCGGGGATCGTTCGACCTCGAACCGATCAGCTGGCTCCGAAACGTCTGCTCGTTCAACATCGGCCGATCCTGGGTCGCCGGCGGCGTCCGACGTTGAACGGCGGCGCCGGGGGTCGTCGCCAGTCGACACGACGCTTAGGTCGGGCGTGTCCCCCCTACAGGCGGATGTTGGACGACAAATAAAAGATACCCCCAAAAAATATACCCAAAAAAAATCAAAAATTGTCAGAAAATCGTCCCCAGACTATTTTTGACCATCTTTGAATTTGCCCCCTGTAGAGGGACAAGCCCGACTTCGGCTAGACGTAAGAGTGACCCTGGGTAAGAGTGACCCTTGGTGCGCAGCTTTTGGGGGCGCGAGGGAGCCAAACCCAAGGGCGCGGGCCGCTTACTTCGCATCGCGCTCGGCGATCGGGAGGAGCCCGATGAGCCCGCACCAAAGGCCACTCCGGCGACGGGTCACTCTTACGTGTGGTCGACGACTTAACACGCCGCCAAACCTGCCATACAGTCGAGGCGTTGACCCAAGGAACCCTAAATAAGGAACGAGGCCCCTTTTTTTCCATAGGTTAAACTTCGATTCCCCATGGAAAACCTAAGGAAAATCTAAGGCAAGCTGCGAAACACTTAAGGAACGCGGAGCCCCTCCCCAACGAGAAGGGTTCCTTCTTCAGGGCCCCGACTGTACGCCAGGCGCACACGGCAACGACGCGGCTGCGGGCCCCGGGCGAAGGCCAGCGCGGAGGGGGGATAGATTTAAGTCGGGCCTGTCCCCCTACAGGGGGACTTTCGACGAAAAATAAGAAAATACCCCAAAGATAATCATAAATTAGTCCAAACATAGTCTGGGGACTATTTGTTTGAGTATTTGTTGGCCTTTTGGGTTTTGTTGGGGGTATCTTTTATTTTTCGTCGAAAATCCCCCTTTAGGGGGACAGGCCCGACATAAGGATAGATGGAGGGCGACATCGCAGGTTGGAATACCATGTGAGACCTGCTCTAGAAGAGGAGCATATCGTAGACGGATCTACCCTTCTCTACGACCCTGCAATGCGCCGCACGCAGCGGCCAGGTTGTCTCAATGGCGTATCCACAACGCTTGTGGCTAGAAAGTGAGAACGGTATTTGCCATAGGTCCCAGGCATTGGTCTTCTCAAAGCAAGCAGACTTGGCCCTCCAAATGGAAAGGGCGGGGGGAAAGAGAGAGAGAGAGAGAGAGAGAAAAAAAAAAAAAAAAAAAAAAAAAAAAAAAAAAAAAAAAAAAAAGGAGAGAGAGAGAGAGAAAGAAAAAAAAAAAAAAAAAAAAAAAAAGGAGAGAGAGAGAGAGAGGAGCCCGCTACCTGAGCGATAACGCCTGGTAACTGTGCGATCACGCCTATTACCCGAGCCGCCTCCCCCCCCCTTCACACACCCCGGGAGAGTCCCTACTCGCGCTGGCGCTGTCCGGGAGTGGCTGGAGGTCACCGCTTCCGGGCGGCCCCCCAGCAGGCCGAAGACCACGACGAGCCGTCCACCTCGATGTTGTTCGAGGGGCCTAATGCCGAGGGGGAACGTTCAGGGGCAAGTGGCTCGGGGAGGGAAACAGCGAGCTGAAAACGGAGATACATCGCCGATAGTAGAGGCCTCCCCTAGATGGGGTCGGAGTAGATGGGGTCGGAGGATCGCGCCGCGTCGCCGATGCATCGGCGATGCATCGGCATTGTATTGGCGATGCATCGCCGATGCGCTGGCGATGCATCGTCGACGTGGGCGATGCATCGGCGACGTCGACGTGAAGCAAATCGGGCTCCACATCGAGCCGCATCGCCGATGCATCGGCGATGCGGCGCGATCCTCCGACCCCATCTACTCCGAGCCCATCTGGGAGGCCCAGAGATAGATCAGCGATCGGCCCCCGATATCACGTCCGCACGCTCCTGGGCGGGGTGGGCCGTCGGGCCCCAGGCACGCTCGGCAATGCAGGGGCGATTGGGGGCCGATGCATTCCCCCCCCCTCTGAGCCTGTCCCCCCCCCAACGTGGCCCCCGATCTTCCGCCCCCGTGGCGCTCGGCCCACACCGCGGGCCTCCGGAGGCCGTCCGGGACGAGCCCAGGGACCCCAGGAGCGCCCTCGACGGGACGCAGCTGGTGACGACCACCCGGGGTGTCGCGCAGACCTGTGAAGCATACAGCGAGCTGTCGAGCACCTCCCTGAGGCCATCCTCCCCTGCCGTTGCCGCTGAGATGCCCGGGATGCCGGGGAGGAGGAGGAGGAGGAGGAGGAGGAGGAGGAGGAGGAGGAGGAGGAGGAGGAAGGCGGGGATGCTCGTTGCCCCTGCCGTTGCCGCTGAGATGCCCGGGATGCCCCACCCAGCCCCGCGGCGCGCGGCTCCCCCAGTACACGCCCTGCGCCCGCGGGGTGCGAGGCACGGCACAGTCCCGATGCCCCCCCCTCGCCATGTGGCGTGCGACTCCTTCACCACGTCGGGTGCCTGCCATGGCCAGAGCGGGAGGGGCGAGGAGGGGGAGGAGAGGAAAGACAACGACGACGACGACGACGACGACGACGACGACGACGCTGACGACGCTGACGACGACGACGACCACGACCACGACCATACCCAAGATCACGACCACGACCACACCCACACGACGACGACCACACGACCACGAAGACAAAACAACAACGACGACGACGACGACGCTGACGACAACGACGACGACGACGACGATTCCTTCACCACGTTAATTGCCTGCCAAGGCCAGAGGGGGAGGGACAAGGAGGGGGAGGAGAGGAAGGACAAGGGCGACGACGACGGCGTCGACGACGACGACGACGACGCTGACGACGACGACGACGACGACGCTGACGACGACGACGACGACGACGACGACGATGCTGACTACGTTGACAACGCTGACGACGACGACGACGACACTGACGACGACGACGACGACGACGACGACCACGACGACGACGACCACGACGACGACGACCACGACGACGGCGACGACGCTGACGCTGACGACGCTGGCGGCGACGACGACGACGACCACGACCACCATGACCAAGACCACGATCACGACCACACGACCACGACCACACGACCACGACCTCACGACCACGACGCCAAAATAACAACGACGACGACGACGACGCTAGCGACGTTAACGACGCTGACGACGCTGACGCTGACGACGCTGACGCTGACGACGCTGACGCTGCTGATGACGCTGACGACGCTGACGATGACGACGACAACGACGACGCTGACGCTGACGACGACGACGACGACGACGACGACGACGACGCTGAGGACGAGGACGCTGACGACGACGACGACGACGACGACGACGACGACGACCAAGACAACCAAACATCAACGACGACGACGACGCTGACATCGCTGCACTGACGACGACGACGACGACGACGACGACGACGACGACGACGACGACGACGACACTGACGCTGACGCTGACGACGACGACGGCGACGCAGACGACGCCGACGACGACGACAACGACGACGGACGACGACGACGACGACGACGACGACAACGCTCACGACGCTGCACTGACGACGACTACAACGACGACGACTACGACAACGACGACGACGACGGCGACGACGACGACGACGACGACCACGACGACCACGACGACCGCGACCGCGACCACGGACACGACCACGACCACGACGACGACGTCTAGAAAAGAACAAAGACGACAACGACAACGACGCTGACGACGACGCTGACGACGACGCTGACGACGCTGACGGCGACAACGACGACAACGACGACAACGACGACGACGACCACGACCAGGACCACTACCACCACGACGACGACGACGAAGACTAGAAAACATCAAAGACGCTGAAGACGACAATGACGACGACGACGCTGAGGACGGTAACGACAAAGACGACGACCACGACGCCGACGACGCTGACGCTGAAGACGACGACGACGACGACCGCGATGACTACCACGACCACGATCACGACGACGACGACGACGTCTAGAAAACAACGACGACGACGACGCTGACGCTGACGGCGACGACGACGACGACGAAGACGCTGACGACGACGACGACGACGACGACGACGACGACGACAGTGACGCTGACGCCGACGCTGACGACGACGACGACGACGACCACGACGACCACGACGACGCTGACGGCGCTGGTGACGACGCCGACGACCGCGACGACTACCACGACCACGATCACGACGACGACGACGTCTAGAAAACAACAAAGAAACAAAGACGCTGACGACGCTGACGACGACGACGACGGCGACGACAGTGACGCGGACGACGACGCTGACGACCACGACGACGACCACGAGAACGACGACAACGACGACGACGACGCTGACGTCTAGAAAACAAGAGAGACGACGGCGACGACGACGACGACGACGACGACGACGACGACGACGACGACGACGACGACGACGACACCGACGACGCTGACGACAACGCTGACGACGCCAGCAGTGACGCTGAAGACGACGCTGGGGACGACGACGGCAATGACGACGACGACGACGACGACGACGACGACGACGACGACGCTGACGCTGACGACGACGACCGCGACCACGACCACGACCTTAACCAAGACCATGACCACGACCACGACCACACGACCACGACCACACGACCACGGCGACAAAACAACGACGACGACGACGACGACGACGAGGACGACAACGAGAACGCTGACGACGCTGACGACGACGACAACGACGACGCTGATGACGACGACGACGACGACGACGACGCTGACGCTGACTCTGACGACGACGAGGACGCCGATGACGACAACGACGACGACAGCAAAACATCAACGACGACAACGACGCTGGCGACGCTGACGACGTTGACGACGACGACGACGCTGACGACGACGGCAACGACGACGACGCTGACGACGACGCTCACGACGACGCTCACGACGCTGCACTGACGACGACGACGACGACGACGACAACGGCAACGACAACGACTACAACAACGACGACGACGACAACGACGACGACGACGACGACGACCGCGACCGAGACAACGACCACGACCACGACCACGATCACGACGACCACGACTAGAAAACAGCGAAGACGACGACGACAATGACGACCACGACAACGACGCTGACGACGACGACGACGACGACGACGACGCTGACGACGACGACGACGACCACGACGACGACCACGACAACGACGACGAGGACGACCATTACCACGACCACGACAGCCACGACGATGACGACGACGAAGACTAGAAAACAGCAAAGACGACGACGACGACGACGACGACGACGACGACGCTGACGACGGCACCCGATGACGCCCGAGCGCCTGCTGCGACTGGGGAGGCGTGGCGCCCCCAGCGCCCAGGGGGCCCAGCGGTATCACCATCGATGGAAGCTCGCCGTGCCTACGCTCCCCCGCGCATGTCGCCGTCGTGGTCGCCGTCGTGGTCGTCGTCGTCGCCGTCGCGGTCGCCGTCGTTGTCGTCGTCGTCGCCGCCGCCGCCGCCGTCGTCGTCGTCGTCGCCGCCGCCGCCGCCGTCGTTGGCGGCTGCGCTGTCGCTGTCGCTGTCGCTGTCGCTGTCGCCAACGCCGTCGTCGTCGCCGTCGGCTGCGCTGTCGTTGTCGTTGACTTTCTCCTGCACTGGTGATTATCATTCGTTTTCTCATCATTCTTCCTTTTCCTCGTATTAGTATTACTTTCATGCTTCTTATCAGTATCCCTATTATCATTCTTCTTAGTATTCTCATTATGTTTCATATTCTCCGTCTCCTCCTCGTCGCCCCTCCTCCTCCTCCTCGCCCCTATGCCTCCTCCCAGCCCCTCCTATTCGCCCCTCCTCCTCGCCCCTCCTCCTCCTCCTCCTCCTCCTCCTCCTCCACCTCCTGCCTCTCCTGCTCCATTATTCCTCCTCCACCTTCTCCTCTTCCTCATCCTCGGCCGAGGGGGAAGGGGGGCGAGGTGGAAGAAGGGGCATGAGGGGATAGGAGGGGGTGGAAAGGGAAGGAGAGTTAGGAGGGGTAGGAGGGAGTAGAAGGGGGTGGAGGAGGTAGGAGGGGCAGCAGGGGGAAATCAGGGAAAGCAGGGAGCACGCCCTTCCCGTCCCCTCGCCGAGGGGTGTCGGCACTTCTTGGAGCCCCCTAGCTGCACATCACGTACATTCAGGGAGAGCTCGGCTTGAGCTAGCGCGGGCGCCGCGGATGCGAGGGCAGAGTCGAGAGCGAAGGCCTCACAATAAATGGGGCTGGACTAGGTGGGACCCCCAAATCGCACCACATCCTCGATGCACCGACGATGCACTGGGGCGCACATCGATCTTCGGCCCAAGATGGGCCTGTCAAGGACCAGTGTGGAAATTTAGCAAGCGTCCCCAAAATATCGGCCCCAACGCCGCACCGTATCCCCAACTTCAGTTTTAAAAAACTATGTAGATAGCCGGCGTTCCCCGAAATGAGCCCCAGACGCCACACCGCATCCCGCGTCCCTCACAAGATCCTTCCTGGCTGGCTTCTCATTCCAGATCAACGTTTGAATGCCCTGGGGCCCAAAAATAGCCACGGAAGCCGAGATCTACGAGAAGCCGTAGCCATGTTGGCTCCCAAGCGAGGCTACTGAGCGGTGTAGGCAGGTGCCGCCCGAGCACCTTGTGTGTCACTGGCTCGTGCACCCGAGCGAACTGGAAGATCATCATCATCATCATCATCATCATCATCATCATCATCATCATCATCATCATCATCATCATCATCATCATCATCATCATCATCATCATCATCATCATCATGATCATCAGCATCATCATCAGCAGCAGCAGCAACAGCAGAGCAGCGTCATCGTCACCATCATCGTCGCCATCCTCATCCTCATCATCATCATCATCATCATCATCATCATCATCATCATCATCATCATCATCATCATCATCATCATCATCATCATCATCATCATCATTATCATCATCATCATCATCATCGTCATCATCATCATCATCATCATCATCATCATCATCATCGTCATCGTCATCGTCATCGTCATCGTCATCATCAGAATCATGATCATACTCATCCTTGTCATCATCGTCATCAGCAGCAGCAGCAGCATCAGCAGCCGCAGCATCATCATCAGGAGCATAATCAGCATCAAAAACAGCATTATCATCGTCATCATCAGCAGCATAATCATCATAATCAGCATCATCATCAGAATCAGCATCGTCACCATCATCATCATCATCAGCATCATCATCATCATCAGCAGCACCATCATCATCAGCATCATCATCAGAATCAGCATTATCATCATCATCAGCATCAGCATCGTCATCAGCAGCATCACCATCATCATCAGCATCATTATACATCATCATCCATCATCCTCGTCATCGTCATAGCCATCGTCATCATCAACAGCATCATCATATGTTTCTTCATCATCATTGTCATCATCGTCATCCTCATCCTCGTCGTCATCATCAGAATCATCATTACCACCACCACCATCATCACCAGCAGCAGCATCATCGTCATCGTCATCGTCATCGTCATCATCATCACCATCAGTATCAGCATCATCATCAGCATTATCAACATCATCCAACGATGCGTCGGAGGCGAGGGGATGAATATGATCGAAGCTGCAAGATCGCACCGCATCGAGCGATCCACCGACGATATGTCAACGACGCGGCGATAGCTCGGAATCCTATTGGCGGCACGCACACGCGGGTGGCGCAAGGGGATGGGCCTTCTAAAAAGGCGGAGGTTTCGCTCAAATATGTTCCTGCGAATCACTTTCCTTCACTCTTTTCCTGCCCGGCCCCATTCACCGTGTACTCGCCCAATCGCTCCTTTTCAAAACCAGAGGCGCTGGAGAGGGAAGTTTGCCCTCTTTGCACAGTCCCCCGGTTGCTCGTGCTCGAACTAATAGAAAAAGGCCAGCGAAAAATGAAGATCTCGTACGGCTGCAAGTTGCGGATGCTCCGCCCGCGCCAGGATGGAGGATCAGGACTGAGTACCGTTTATCCGATCCCCATCCCCAGCGGCGTGGCCTGGGCCCCACTGGCCGATGTGCCCCCCAAGATGGGGATATAGGCCGTTCCCTTCGGGTTTCGAGGGGTGTATCCCCAACTGGGAGGGTAATTTGGTGGGGGTCTCGAAGGGGATGGGGATGGGGGTGGGGATCGGATAAACGATACTGAGAGCCGGAGCATGCAAAGATGCGACGGATGTGCGGGCAGGAGGAGGAGCCGGAGCACGCAGCGGCACCTGGCCGCAGGAGTAAAAAAAGAGCGGGCGCGGGAGACCGGGAGCAGGGGATGGGCCCGTCCTCCACCTCCACCACCAGAAGCTGGAGGGGGGGAGGAGGTGGAGGACGAGGAGGAGGATGGAGAGGAGGACGAAGAGGAGGAGGTGGAGGAGGACGAGGAGGAGGACGAGGAGGAGGACGAAGAGGAGGAGGAGGAGGAGGAGGAGGAGGACTCCCTCCCCCTCCACCCTATGGCGGTGGTGGTAGACAGGCACATCAAGCCGGGAGAGGACCCGACGGCCGCCGACCAGCGTCCCAGAGGCAGCCTCGTCTGGGAGCAGGAGGCTCGAGAGGCCGGCCCCCCTCCAATGACCACCTGTTGGCGGCCTGGAAATGGGCACCGGGACCAAGACGGGGGGCTGCCTCTTAGTGGGCCCTGGAAACGACAGGGCCGTTTTTTTACCGGTTCCGTTCTGCCGCTTTTGTTGCCGGTTCCGACGCCGTTTTTTAACAGGCTCCGTCGCCGTTGTTTTAACCGGTTCCGGCTCCGGTTCCAATCCTGGAGCTGTTTTTTTGCCGTTTCTGGTCGCCGTGTTTTTGCCGCTTCCATTTTCAAGGGACATTTTTTTGGAAACGGTGAAAAAACGGCACTGCCGTTTCCGGGGCCCACAAAGGGCTGCCTCCACGGGGGGAAGATGACCCCAAATTTCGGTGCGGGTGGCAATGCTTCGGCCACCTTGGAAGCCGGAATATTGCCACCAGCACCGAGATCGGAACATTCTTCCCTCGGTGGAGGCACACCGCCGACATCGGTGTTGGTGTCAACATCCAGGCCTGCGACATTGGAACACACGTCGGCTGAATCACTGGCATCGGGGCTCGAGCTAAGCAGTGGTGTTCGCTTTCGTATTGTGTTTGTTGTCCTTCGTTCTGCCTTCGTTCTGCCTCTGCTGCGAAGCGGAACCAGAACGAAAGCTGCCGCCGAATCGCCGAAATGCCGTTTAGCTCGAGCCCTGACTTGCATGCCGTGAGCATGGAGAGCGACAATTCGGATACGCGAGCTCCGATTGGATGGCACGATGACGCGCTCGCCCGACAGAGGGAGGCAGGGCGGATTATTTCAAATCCCCTTTAGGGTGCTGAAGCCCTCTTGGGACTCTGCTTGGGCCCTTGGGGGGCGCTGTTGGGGCCCCCCGGAGCCTCAGGAGCCGGTTTGGGGCGGCCCGGGTGCCCCGTGGAGGCCTCTCCAGGGCACTTCGGCGAGCCTCGCGGGAGCATCTCGCAGGGCCTCGTTGGGGCCACTGGGGGCCTCAACGGGGCCTCCAGAAGGTTCCTGGGGCCGTTCTGGGGGGGGGGGCATCCAGCATGTTCCTTGGGCAGTCCTCTTGCCTTGACCTCTCTCGACATGTGGAGAGCGGCTCGGGGGCCCTCTTGGCTCTCTCTCTCTCTCTCTCTTTCTCTCTCGGTGCCATCTTGGGGCTCTTTTGAAGGGGCCCAAGGATACACAAAGAAATACACAAATAAAAGGATTCCCTGTATTTTCAAATATTTTCTGGGTTTCTGTCTTCCCCCCCACTGCCCAGATTTTCCCATATTTCCTGGAGAATCGACGATGAATCGTGCCTGTGTGGTTTCTCCCTCCTGATTTGGGCTCGTTGGAGCGTTCTCGAGGCCATATGGAAGCCTCTGGCGCCCTGCCATTGGGCAAAGAGCACGGGCAGAGAGACCGCTGCTCTACAACATGCTGCTGCTGGAGGGGAGCCTCGGGGCCGCCGTCCTGGGCCGACAAAGGGGCCCGTCTTGGCGCGCCCTGCCTCGTCGGGCTGCTTCTGGCCTGGTGCCCGGTCTCGCCCCGTCTCGTCGGGTCGTCTTCGGCCGCCTTGCGGGGGGGGCGTCTTGGGCCCTCCTGGAGAGACGGGCGCGCTGGAGTGGGCCGTCCTGGGCCGACAAGGGGGCCCGTCTTGGCGTGCCTTGCCTCGTCTGGTTACTTCTGGCCTGGTCTCGTTCCCGTCCCGTCCGGTCGTCTTCGGCCGTCTTGCGGGGGGCGTCTTGGGCCCTCCTGGAGAGACGGGCGCGCTGGAGTGGGCCGTCCTGGGCCGACAAGGGGGCCCGTCTTGGCGTGCCTTGTCTCGTCTGGTTACTTCTGGCCTGGTCTCGTTCCCGTCCCGTCCGGTCGTCTTCGGCCGTCTTGCGGGGGGGGGGGGGCGCCTTGGGCCCTCCTGGGGAGACGGGCGCGCTGGAGTGGGCCGTCCTGGGCCGACAAGGGGGCCCGTCTTGGCGCGCCTTGTCTCGTCTGGTTACTTCTGGCCGGGTCTCGTTCCCGTCCCGTCCGGTCGTCTTCGGTCGCCTTGCGGGGGGGGGGGGGGGCGCGTCTTGGGCCCTCCTGGGGAGACGGGCCCGCTGGAGTCCTCGCTGGGCGCCGGCTGAAGGGGTTTGCCCGCCTCGTCAGTCAGGTCCCTCGCCTGGATCTGGGCGGGGAGGGCACGAAGGGTTAGAGCGTGCAAGATGGCTCCAAGATGGCTCCAGACAGCTGAAGACGGCCTCTGAGATGGCACAACACAATCCAAGACGGCTCAAGACGCCCTCAACCTTGCATCCAAGAGGCTCCAGGACTGCCCCAAGACGGCTGCAAGTGGCCACGGAGCCTCCCAAGGATATCACCGAGAAAGCAAAATCAGTCAGAAACCTGCCGTGAGGCTCTTCAAGGTGTGTTTGCCTTCTCGCATCTTCGCTTCCGCTCGGCCCCTGAGGCCTCGATATAGCTTCGGGGACGCCCAAGAGAACCCCAGAAAGAGGCCTAGAAGAGGTCCAAGACGGCCCCAAGAGCGCCCAAGGGCGTCCCAACTGGGCCCCTGTGTACGATTTATCAGGCTCCTGATGATACTAATTAGGACACCCCCCTGGCATAACTAAAACAATTGAATCACGTAAGGCTTGTGAGTAATGTAAGCTTATCGGGGGGCATCCCTGGGAGGCTTTTGGCCCAAAATGGCTCCAAGATGGCCGCAGATGCCGTAGGATAATCTCCAGAAGGGCGTAAGATGGTCCAAGGTGGCTCGAGATCGTCTCCTGCATACATGCAAGAGACCCCATGACTGTCTCCAGCATACATCCAAGAAATCCCATGACTGCCCCAAGGAGGCTGCAAGTGGTCTCGGAGCCCACCCCCAGGATGCCCGATCCTCCGAAACCCTGAAGTGGTTCAATGATTGCTGCATTCTCGCAGTTTCGCTGCCGATTGGCCTCCGAGGCCTCTAGATGCCCCTGAGAGAGAGCCTCTGCCCTAAGAGCACGCAAGAGCTCTCTCAGAGCGTCCCCAGACGGCCCCGTTAGGCGAGTTTCCCGGCTCATAGGGACATCGCGAATTGAGCCCCCCTTCTCTGATAGATGTCCTCCAGCATGGCCCCAAGAGGGCCCACAAGGCTTCCAAGAGGGTCCCAAGAGACTCCCAAGAGGGCTCCGATAGCTCCAGAAAACTGCCTCGGCAGGGCTCAAGACAAGATGACTGCAAGAGGTCTCCAAGAAGCTCGCAGAGCGAAAAGACCGCAAAGGAGGTTTTGATGGTTGACTGCTGTCGCCGTCGTCGTCGTCGTCCACATCGCCCTCTTCCTCCTACATCCTACGCCTCCTCCTCATCATCATCATCATCATCATCATCATCATCATCATCATCAGCATCTTCTTCCCCCTCATCACTATGGGAAATATACGCAGCGTATCTGGATGTCAGGGGCCTTGCCAGGGATCTTGTATGGGGCCGAAGTCAACGGGCTCTCGGACTCTGAGCTGGGCGAAGTGAAGCGGGCGGCAGGCAAGGTTCTACGTCCAGGGGCTGGTGGTCGTTCGCTATCATCTGCCATTACTGTCAGCAACGATCCTATGGAGCTGGGCGCCACGGCCCCCACCTTACGCTACGCTTAAGGAGGTCCGGGCCCTGCAGGCGAGGTCCTACCCCTTCTCACTCTTGTGGGCACAGCTTCGAGATGGCTGGGAGCTCGTCTTCAGCCAACCAGAGCCTACTTGGAGAGGGGTCTCGGGGCCGATATCCGCGCTCCGCCTATCTGTAAAGCGTGTTGGTTGGAGCATGCGCGACTGTGTCACGTGCGTGAATGATTTCGGGGAGGCCTTGTTGATCACGGCCGATCCTCCTGCTATGCTGAAGAATATGTTGCACGCGGCCTCGTTGAGGAGTTTGGAGCGTGAAGCTGCCCACAAAGCTGGAGTCCAAGAGCAGAGGCTGTGCTACGATGCTATTCGCAACCACCTGGGGTCATCGAAGCTCTCGGACAAGGAAAAGGGGTCCGTCCGTAGGTTGGTGTGCGAAGCGTATGGACTCGCGAACGAGCTGGGCAGGCTGGATATCAGGTATCCAACGTTTGCCAACAGTGCGGACAGCCAAGAGATTATATCCACCACCGTCTTTGGTCTTGCCCCTGCGCAGCCTCTCTCCGTGAAGCAATTGTGAAGGCAGATAGTTTAAATTATGCTGCTGACGCGGACATGCCCGACCCCGTCCAGGCGTCTTTGCTTACTCGAGGGGTTTTCCGCACCCTGGGGGGGCTACTTCCCCCGCCCTGCCCCTGAGGTTAGTGAGTTTCAGGCCACGATGGTTGGGATGAGCCTCCCCCTGTAGGTGGTACATTTGCGGGAAACATCGTTGTCGACGGCAGCTGCCAGAAACATGTGATCAGCGAACTCTCCCGAGCGGGCTACGGGTTGGCCGCGTTTTCGGATGACGGGCGTAGGTTAGGCAGATTGGCTGGTCCTGTCCACTCTCCGTTCATCCAGACCTCCAAGTGTGCAGAGTGTGCAGGGATTGCGCGTGGTGGTCTCGAGGTTAAAGCCCCGTGCATGTTTCATTCTGACTGAGATAACGTCGCTTCTCGAAGCAGCAAAGCTAGCGAGGTTCCGCTGAGCTATAAGAAGCCTTTCGCTGGCATGATGATGATGTGTCGGACGAGGAGTCGGTGGGTGGAAGGAGTGAGCAAAATCAAGGCCCATCTCGACCCGCTGGAGGCGGGGATCTCAGAGAGCGAGCGTTGGCTCCGCGTGGGCAATGACGATGCCGACAGGGCCGCTAAGATGGGTGCAGCGATGCACCCGCAGCCGTCTGAAGCAGACGCCCAGCTGCTTACTTTTCGAATTCGTGTTTCCCAAGCGGTCTGTGCGCTAGCGGCGGAGGTGCTCCCTGCCTGGCCACGGCCCGACCTCTCCGAGTGCCCGCGGATAGCCCCCCCATAAGGCTCCTAAGGAACCCAAGGGGCCTGGGCACGCTTGGGCTTTCGAGATGATGTCAAAAAAAATATTGTTCATCATCATCATCATCATCATCATCATCATCATCATCATCACCATCATCATCATCATCATCATCATCATCATCATCATCATCATCATCATCATCATCATCATTATAATCATCATCATCAGTATAATCATCATCATCATCAGCATCAGCATCATCATCATCATCATCATCATCATCATCATCATCACCATCACAATAATCGTCATCATCATCATCAGCAGCAGCATCATCATCATCAGCATCAGAATCATCATCATCAGCAGCAGCATCATCAGCAGCATCAGCATCATCATCAGCATCATCATCGATCATCGCAATCATCATCACCATCATCATCATCACCATCATCATCGTCATCATCGTCATCATCATCCCCATCATCGTCATCATCATCAGCATCAGCATCAGCATCACCATCATCAGCAGCAGCATCATCATAATCATCATCATCGGTCATCACAATTCTCAGAATCGTCATCATCCTCATCATCAGCATCGATCATCGACATGAGCATCATCATCATCATCATCATCATCATCATCAGCATCAGCATCAGCATCAGCATCATCATGATCAGTATCATCATCAACAGCAGCATCATCATCACCATCATCAGAGGCATCATCATCCTATTCCTCCACCTTCTGCTTCGTTATACTATTATTCATCCTATTCCTCCTCTCCCTTCTCCGCCTAGTCATTATCATCATCATCAGCATCACCACCGCCACCACTCCCATCAGCACCGTCATCATCATCATCATCATCATCATCATCATCATCATCATCATCATCATCATCATCATCATCACACGATTCATCTTCATAGCCATCATCATGATCGTTATCGCCTCCTCTCACACAGGATTTACCTGAACTTGAATGGCAACAATCGGGTCACCGAGGCATGGTGACTCTACTTGACGACTCCCCGCTGCCTATTTTTCTCTCTGCCGCGATCTCCCTCTCACTCCGCCCCTCGTTCTCTCCCTCCTGGTCTCGGCTCCACGCACCAGGGTGCCTGCGAGCCTTCGACGCAGCCCTCCCGAGGCGAGACCGTTCCCGCCCCCCCGGGGCGCCACTGATACGCCAACCACACCCTATCCGCCGCCGCGCGCCGTGGCCCCTCAGCGCCCGCCCCGCGCTCCCCCTGGGCGACCTCGGCACACCCTCCCGCGGCTCGCGCCGACTGCAGGCCCTCGACGCGCAGCACCCGACCCCGAGAGCACACCCGCGCGGCAGGACCCGTGCCTCGCGGCCTCTCCGCCGAGGCGGAGGGGAATCCGCCCAGCGCCCGCCGACCACGAGCCTGCCCCCAGAGAGCCGGCGGCGCACTTAGAGGGGGCCACGTGCGAGCCCTGCCCCACCCCACCCCTCAGAAATCGTGGGGGGCAGGGGCTGGGTTCGCACGTGGCCCCCTGGCACTGGAGCTGGACCGGACCACCCGACGCAGATCTCCAGCAGACCTCCGACGCGCACTCCACCGCCCGGTGCGCTGCCCACGAGAGGTCCCCCGGACCTGCCCGCACCACGAGCGCACCCGCGCCAGAAGCGCCGCCACGGACGGCGAGCCTCAGCCGCGGCCGGCCAAAGCCTCGGTCGTTACCCCATGCCACTCCCTGGAGGCAAGCCACTGGGACGTTCCCATCGCCAAGGCTCCCGAGCCGGAAATATAGACACGAACACGGGTGCGACCGCGCACAGGAGCTCAGTCTCTCTGCACACGGCCTGGCTGCGCTCCAACGCCAAGACGACCCCCTCGCCGTGGTCGTCCTCGGCCCGAAAGAGCCGGAAGTACACAGGTCACGAATGCAAGGTCCCCGCCATTCGGCGGACGCCACAATCCACTCGACCGCAACCCACTCACCTCGATGCTACCATATATGTACCAGTTCGGACGCACCGAGGTCCATTACACTCAGAACACCATGGAAGCGGAGCTCGATCCAGCGTTGCAAGTAACGTGGATCCGTGGTACCATCTGGGAAGATGAAGCCACTGCCGCAACCGACGGAGCCCTCGCTGGACTGTTCACCCAGCAGTTCGCAGGTGGCGCCCCAATCAAAGGGCAGCGTAAGCCCAGCTCAGGTGATGGCTCTGCTCAGCAACGAGCCATGCAGCGGCACCACGAAGCCAAAGCCAACCCGAGGGATCTGGCGCTAGACGCGGAGCTCCAACGAGGCGTAGACTCTGTGCGGGAGCAACTCCTCCCGCACGTGGCCCTTAAACGAGTCCTGCAAGCCCCTGCGCCGCCACGGGACGCAGGCAGGTGAGCGCAGCTTGTCGGCGACCTACCGCATCAAGCCTGCCCACGTCCACGACGTGCTCAGCGCGTCTGGCCAACAAGGGGTTACCTTCGACGTCCCCATTGGCCGAGGCACCCCACCGCCAGACACCGCAGACACAGTCGACTGCATCTGACACCCCGGCCCTGGGCCAAATTTCGCCACGGCCTATGCTGGCTCAGTCAAGCGAAAGGCCATCGGGATACACCGCAGGCCAGGCCAAAAGGGCCCCCGCATCGGCCTGCGAGTCCCCACTCAGTCCGAAGTTGCCAAGGCAGTCTCGCTGGCCCTCCGCAATACCACCGCCGCAGTGGCAACTACCAAGTACTGCGTTACGCGCATAATGACGAAGCTACTGCCACCAATCCCACCAGCCCTCTGGGCGCAGGTGGTCTACAGCGTTTCCGTTTCCAACCTCCTGCCTTTCCCTGCTCGGGAGGTTTACCTCCCCCACCCCTCCCTGCGTCTGGACGGGCTACCCCGCGATGCGGCAGAGGGTCCTTTTTGGTCCTAGATGGCTCCAAGAGGGCTTCAAAAAGCGCAAGATGGCCTCCAAGATGGTCGAAGATTCCGACACACGTCCAAGAGGCCTCAAGGCGGCCCCAAGACGGTTTCAAGTGCCCTCCGAGGCCTCCAAGGACCCCCCCCAAGAGGCCAAAATCCTTCAAAAAAGAAAATCATTGTGCTTTGCCTTTTCGCTTGTTCGCCTCCGATGGGCTCTTGAGGCCTCAAGATGGCCCCAAGACGGCCCAATATAGCCCCAAAAAGGGTCCAAGAGGGCCCCAAGGCGGCCCCAAGAGCGCCAAAGAGCGCTCCAAGAGCGGCCCAAGAGGGCCCCAAGACGGCATGTCTGAGCCTCCGATGGAGGGGGGCAGGGATTAAGGACCCCCCTATGTTTATCGAAAGGGTCCAAGACGGCTCCAAGAGGCCCATCAGGCACCCCGAAAGAGCCCCAAGAAGCCCCCCAGACCCCCCAAAAGAGCCCCAAGAGAACCCCAAGACGACCCAAAAGAGCCCCAAGAAGCCCCAAGAAGGCCCTAAGAGGACCTCAAGAGAGCCCCAAGAAAGAATCCGAGGAGGCCCCAAGAGGGGCCCAAAAGAATCCCAAGGGCCCCAAGATGCCTCCAAGTTTCGGAACGCACGCGAGTTTAAGATACAAGTAATCACTGTTTGGGGTCCATGCTGGTCAACATATGCACAGTGCGCAAAAATGTGCACCTGTCTTTGTCTCACTGCGTGCTTCTGACCTCCCCCGATCGCAGCAGCTCGCATCGCAAATCGTCTCCGAATGGACCAGCGGGGACACGTCGAGAGCTCAGAACTAACGCTGGACGGCAGGGTCATCGGCAAGGCGCGGCCTCCTCGGAAGCCCGCTGACGATGGGTCGGCGGCACACACACACACCAAAACCATCAAATCCCAAAGCACAACAACCAACTATTTCACCAACATATGAATATGTATATATGTGTACTTGCATCTATGTGTACACATATATATATATATGGATACAGAGAGAGAGGACGAGGAGGAGGAGGAGGAGGAGGAGGACCAGAAGAACGAGGACCAGGAGGACGAGGAGGAGGAGGAGGAGGAGAAGAAGTGCGAGGAGGAGGAGGAGAAGGACCAGAAGGACGAGGACCAAGAGGAAGAGGAGGCGGAGGAGGAGTGCGAGGAGGAGGAGGAGGAGGAGGAGGACCAGAAGGACGAGGACCAAGAGGACGAGGAGGAGGAGGAGAAGTGCGAGGAGGAGGAGGAGGAGGAGGAGGAGGAGGAGGACGACGAGGGGGAGGAAGAGAAGCGCGAGGAGGAGGAGCAGCGCACGTCGCGGGCCCGGGGCCTCCCGACGCTTCGGACGGGGCCCGGGCCCTCGGCGGGCAGGCGCGCGCGGGGGGTCTGCGAGCGCCCTGCGCGCGCGGGGGGGGCCGCGGGCCGCCGCCCCTCACTCGCTCTTGCGGCCGCCGGCGGGCAGGCTGGCGCGGAGGATGCCGAGGACCCCACGCGCCCGGGCCTGCGCGGGCGAGCCGCGGGAGGGGGCGGAGGGAGGATCGGCGGCGAGCGGAGGGGGGGAAGAGCGAGAGGGAGGAGGCCTGCTCAGGAGGCGGCCAGACTCCTGTCAGAGGCCCCCTATCGCGCCTTCTGAGGGGTTTCTCTGCGTCTTCGGGGGGGAGGCTCAGAGGACCTGTCAGGAGGCCGCGGAACTTCCGAGCCTTCTGAGAAGGCTTAAGGCGGGCGTGTCCCCCTACAGGCGGATTTTGGGCGAAAAATAAAACATAGTCCAAACATACCCCAAAATGATCACAAACAGTCGAAAAATCGTCCCCAGGCTATTTTTATACTACTTTTGAATATTCCTCCTGTAGAGAGACGGGCCCGGCTTAAGAGAAGGCCTTCTCCTTCTCACTTCCCCCCCCCTCGCTCGCCGCCGAGGGGAGGAAACCCGCAGGGGGCGAGGGAGCCCCGAGAGGGCGACAGGGACGCACCCGCCGCGCGCGCGGGGCGGGGGCCCGCGCAGAGGCGAAAGCGGCTGCGGGCAGGCGGCGGCAGGGCAGGAGGAGGAGGAGGAGCAGGAGGAGGAGGAGCAGGCGGAGGAAGAGGAGGGGGGGGAGGGGGGAGGGGGGAGGAGGGCGGGAGGGGGGCGGGAGGGGGGCGGGAGGGGGACGGGAGGCGGAGGAGGAGGAGGAGGCGGAGATGGACGCAGGAGGAGGAGGAGGAGGAGGAGGAGGAGGAGGAGGAGGAGGAGATGGACGCAGGAGGAGGAGGAGGAGGAGGAGGACACCGATAACGACGCCAATGAGGACGACAGCGCCAGTTGCCCTTTTTGGACCGCCGGGACGCTCCTCGTCAAAAAGGCTGAATCCCCTTGAGCTTCGGCGGTACGGCACAATCCTGTGATCCCATCAACTGCGGCCCGAATCTGGGCGGCCTGGAAAATCAGCATTTGGATACGGAGCGCGTGCTTCGAAGCAGCGTTTTGATAGAGTGGCGCAGGCAGAGATCCGAGTCGACCCGCTGGCGAGCATCTCATGTCTTGCCTTTCCAAGATTTGATAAGCGAATCCATCAACCATTTACCCAACTTGTCTTTCGTTACTGGCTTACCATCGCGAGCAAGAACAGCCTCCACTGTTTGACCGCTCTTGGCAACAACTCCGTGGGACATTCGAGCATTCTGCAAGAGAAAGCAAGAATGTGCATTTCATGTGCTGCCACCCAGATGCGGAGAGGAGACAACTCTGTAACATCTGGCTGAGAAGTTCCAGCCAAACTCCTCTCGAAATTCATGCCTTCACCAATCAGCACAAGAGCATCTAACAGCACAAAATAGTCGCCCGCGTGTCTCCAAAAATTGAACTCAGGGCATGTGCCGCGAACGCCGTTGGCAACTTCTTTGACAGCTTCAACTTGTCCCCACCACGACGCGGCATTGCGACAATGAGCAGCAATAAGCTTACGACGCACGGGATTGCCACAGAGTGCTAACATCCACCTCACTAAAAATTCGCCATACGAGGGTGCTGTATCCATCCTAGCCGCACGGAACTCCTGCAGCATTCGTACTTGACCACCGCCAACGTCGCCTGACCTGGCTGGAGAAAACGAGCTGTCAACCACTGCGGCGCTAGAGCAGGACAACGGGAGTCTGCTGAAATACGCCAGGGTAGCGTATCGGAGTACCCATTGAGAGCAATCACAATGACTTCGACAAGGCCAGCAATCGGGAATTGAGCGTTTGCTTGCGAAGTTGAGAACGTCATGTACCATAGAAATTTGGCAGTGTCATGTAGTTTACAGGGTCCAGGCCGCGAAACTGTTTTAAAGCATCCCTTTTGTCGCGTGCATCTGCGATGGCACAGGCCAGCTCAACCAAAGTCTGTGGTGTTCGACTCTCAAACGGCAACGGTTTGAAGAATTCGATACGATGGCCGAAAGCATTAGTCTGAAGCGAACCACCAAAAACCATAGTGTTCACAGTTTGCTCGTCAACGCCGCTGCATAAGTCGAGATCCGAATTGGTCTGGATCGGCCAACATGGAATACGCCAACGTGCCTCGAGGCACGAGGTGGAGTGTACTCTTGTCACTTCGAGTACTCTGCATTGGGATTGTAAGAAATTAGCGAAGAGTCCCCGGCCCCGAGTTCTGGGGATTCTCGGGCGCTCTTGGGCGCTCCTGGAGCTTGCCGCGTTACTCTTCCGAGACCTAATCGGATCGCATCGGCTGCGCCGGGATGCGCAACAGCGCCATGGCAGACATCGGGCCGCACCAGATCGTCGGGACGTCAGAACCGAACCAGATCTAGCTCAAGGTCGGGACGGATCGAATCGGAGTGGGCCCCCCGGGAGGGCGGGGGGGGCGCCCAGGCTCGCCTGCAGCGGCGGCGATGGCCCGAGGACGCCGAAGGCTGCGGTTTTTGCAGAAAATGTGGACTGCAACATGAGTATCGTTTAGCCGATCCCCATTCCCAGCGGCTTGGCCTGGGCCCCACTGGCCGATGTACCCCCCTAGATGGGGATATAGGTCGTTCCCTTCAAGTTTCGAGGGGCATATCCCCAACTGGGGTGGTAATTTGGTGGGGGTCTCGAAGGGGATGGGGATGGGGATGGGGATCGGTTAAACGATACCAACAACAAGCGGCTGGGGGTTTGGCGAGAGGCTCGACAGAGATATCCGCCGCGCCCCCATCAAGCCTCTGGCGCAACGGGGTGACCCCCTGGAGGCCCCGACGACGGCGCCGATCGCAAACCACACCAAGGCGTAACCGCACCCATTGTAGTCGCCGAACGGCGGCGGCGGCGGCGGCCCGCGCCCCGCGTTTCTGGGCGCCACCGAGCCTGCAGGGACATGCCGTACAGGATCTGGTTGAGCGCAATGCAGAAGGCGGGTCCCTGGCGCCCGCGGCTTCGGGGCGGGGGGGGCCGACGTCGTCGGTCGGTCGCCGGTCGTCGGTCGTCGGTCGCCGCCGTCGCGGATCGACAACGACGGTCGCCGCCGTCGTCGTCGAACGTCGCCGTCGTCGTCGTCGTCGGCCATCGGTCGTCGGTCGTCAGCGTCGTCGGCGAACGTCGACCGTCGGCCGTCGCCGTCGCGCATCGTCGGTCTGCGGCGTCGTCGTCGGCCGCCGTCGGCCGTCGGCCGTCGGCCGTCCTCGGTCATCGGTCGTCGCCCTCGGTCGTCTGTCGTCGCCGTTGGTCGGCGGTCGGCGGTCGTCGTGCATCGCTGGTCGTCTGTCGTCGGTCGTCAGCCACGGTCGGTCGTCGGCAAGGCGCAGCTCGGCGAGCTGGCGAGGATGAACCCTGCGGGGGTCGGGGGATCAGTCCTTGGCGGGTCGTCGACCAAGTCGTCGGTCTATTGTTAAGAGCTTACCGAGTCCTGCTGTCTCTAAACTCGTGCTGAACCTTCCACACGATCCCTCCAGATTTACATGGGTTTCTCTGCAATTACCTCGACTTATCTGGATGTACATCAACTTATCTCCAACATGCCCCGATGTATCTGGCTTGATCCCCGCAAATCGGTCGGAGATGTCAGGGCCTTTGGGCGTCGTCGTCTGTCGTCCGTCGTCGTCCCCCGTCTCTGCTTCTCCTCCTTCGGGCTTGGAGCTGTGCGCTGTGTCGCCACGGATTGCCCAAGCCCTCGTCTTCTCCTCCTCCTCCTCCTCCTTCTACTCCTCCTGATCCTCATCCTCCTCCACCACCACATCATCATCATCATACCATCATCACCATCATCATCATCATCATCATCATCGTCGTCGTCATCCTCATCATCATCATCATCATCATCATCATCATCATCATCATCATCATCATCATCATCATCATCATCATCATCATCATCATCATCATGAGCATCATCATCATCACCATCACCATCACCATCACCATCACCATCATCATCGCAACCATCCTATTCATCATCGTCATCATCATCAGCAGCATCATCCTCATAATCATAATCATCGTCAGCAGCAGCATCATTCTCCTCCTCCTCCTCCTCTTCCTCCTCAGTTTCGTTTGTCTTGTCCGCCACCTCCTCCTACCCGCACCCTGCTCCTCCGCCCGTGGTCTCCCCCTCCTCCTCCTCATCCTCCTCCTCAGCAGCAGCAGCAATCATATTTGAACTGTTCGCTCCTATGTGCTCGCGTGCAATTCAACACCCTTAGTACCCGACCTCTTCGTCTTCGATATACCATCTACCTGCCTTGGGGGCATATCGTCCTTATCTGCCACCTGTATCCAGCGCAGCCTATAAAACAGGGGAAGAGAGGACGGATGGAAGGGGGACGGAGAAGGATGGAGCACGAGAGAAATTAGCAGGAGTGGGACTAGGGGCTAGGAGAAGAAAACACGTGGCAGAACCAGACGGACAGATCGGGCGGGCAGACCCTAATGGGGGGGTCGGGAAGGCGAGCCCAGGCGGCCAGGTCGAGCAGACGGTTGCTGAAGCGTGAGTCCGGCATAAATCGCGAGGAAGTCTCGAGCGATAGAGCGGTTCCAAGGTGAATAGTGAGAAAGGCCAAAGCGAGAGCGTGATTCCTGTGTCGAGGGCGCGGCGACTGAAGAAATTGTGAGGAAATCCAACGCGAGAGCGCGATTCCTGCATAACTTGTTCGGACGTCCCTCGCGAGAGCGCGATGTTTGAAGAAATTGTGAGGATGTATCAGGCGGGAGCCGTTGTAGTTGTGGTTGGTGTTGTTGTAAAATGGGGGCCAGGGGCACAATCTGAGCACCACTACTTTCCCTTGTAATAGGCCTAGTGCAAAGCCCGGGAGGGGCACATTACTTGAAAAAACAATGGTCACTGGGGGTGGTCAACAACCATGTCTTTCGAAATGAAAATTCAACCACAACAGCAACAACAGCAATCATGTTAAGACTGTTCGCTCTTACTTGCCCGCGTGTCTTTCATTCTATATACTCAGATCCTCGGTACCGCCGCCCAATTCGTCTTCGATCGCACCCACTTTGGGGGGGAATCTCTTCCTTGTCGTCCTCTGACTGAGGTGCGAGGAAGTCTCGATTGAGAGCGCCGTTCCTGAGTTCGGGGGCCTCTCTAGCCAGCGCCTCTCAGAGTATTTCGCGAGGAAGCATCGAGCTGGAGCCCTGGTCATCGTCGCTGGGCCTCCACAAACTCGACTGAGTTACGAGGAAGTCTCGAGCGAGAGCGCCATTCCGGAAATCTGGGCCCTCTCTGGCCAGGGCCTCTCTGAGAAAATCGTAAGGGAGAATCAAACGAGAGCCCTTGTCGTCGTGGTTGGGCCTCCGCCAACTTGACTGAATCACGAGAAGGTCTCGAGCGAGAGAGCCGTTCCTGAGCTCGGGGGCCTCTCTGGCCAGGGCCTCTCGGAGTAGATCGTGAAAAAATATCAAGCAGAGCCCTTGTCGGTGTAGCCGGGTCTCCGCCAACTTGATTGAATTGCGAGGAAGTCTCGAGGGAGAGCGCCATTCCTGAGTTCGGGGGCCTCTCTGGTCAGGGTGTCTCGGGGTAAATGGTGCGAAAGTATCGAGCGGGTGCCCTTGTCGGTGTAGCTGGGCCTCCGCCTCCAAGGACATACATTTACAATCAAGCCCGCGCTCGAGCGGGAGCCCCGTTTTCACAGGAATTGCAGCCGGCGTCGAGGCGAGAGCGCGCGGAAATGTTTCTGGAGATCAACCAAAATTATTCCATAGAAACGAATATTCAACAACAACTGTAACAGCAGCAGAAACATGCGCAACAGCAACAGCACCAACAATAACAACGATAATAACACCACTAACACAACAGCAGCGAAAGCAACAACGCACAACAAACAACAACAACAACAACAACAACAACAACAACAACAGAAACAACAACAACAACAACAACAACAACAACAACAACAACAGCAGCATCAACCAGAACAACAACAACAAGAATAACAACAACAATAACAACATCAACAAAATCAACAACAACAATAGCAACCACAACAATAACCAAACTAACAACAACACCGACAACAGAAACAGCAACAACGAAAACAACAACAATAAGAACAACAACAACAACCACAGCAACAAGCACGTCAATACTGTTCTCTCCGATCTGCTCGCGTGCCATTCAGAATATATATATATATATACACACATATAGATGGATTCCGAACCATCAGTGCCCGCCCTCGTCGTCTTCGATAGTGCCCGCTCTGGGCATATCTCACTTACCTGCCACGTGCAGAGAAGGATAGAGCACGAGAGAAGTTAGCAGGAGGGGGCAACAACAACGACGACGATGACGACGATAACAACAACAACAACAACAACAACAACAACAACAACAACAGCAACAATCATTTAAGACTGGGGACACTCCGTTCTCACCAGTGCCAGGGTTTTCATAGGAGGCGGGCAATACCCCCACTTTGTGGGGGGGCCGGTTCAAGCTCTACCAAATTTCCAAACGACTCTTCGCCACCACCCACACCCAGCTTCCCGCCCTATGACGTTCGGACACTTCACTTCGTGGCATGCGGACGACCGTGGCTACTATTCAGGGCCCCGCGGCCGACGACGACGGCGTGCGCGCGCGAAGAAAAAACGAATGTGTCCCGCATGGTATTATTTGACAGGGATGATGGCCCTGGCAGGTGCGCAACCGTTGTCGCAGAAGTTCGAAAAAGTTGCTCGCAAAAGCCCGTTTGACAGAAATGTTTAAAAAGTGTTGGGTTTCCTACGAATCCGCAAGAGCGCGCGGGATGAGATTTTGACATTTTTTTGTTGAAAAACCATTGGTTTTTTGATGTTTTTATGTTAAAATCGTTCCGAACACTAAGCTTTTGGAAGGATTTCGTCTTGCGCGCGCGAATGTCCACTTTACCTTATTTTTTGCAAGGGATTCTTGAAATTTGATTATATTAGAACAAGAAATGTCATTTTATAGTGTTTTTTGCAAGGGAAAACGGATTACAACAAAACAACCGGATCTGGATCACATCGTTTTACCTGAGGCTTCCTCACGAAAATGATGAAAATGTAGCTGCGGCCTAGGCGCGGGGGGGGGGGCGTGCACCAGGGGGCCCAACAATAATTATTCTTTAGAATTAATAATGTTCAACAACAACAATTACTAGCACGTGGGGACACTCCGTTCTCACCAGTGCCAGGGTTTTCATAGGAGGCGGGCAATACCCCCACTTTGTGGGGGGGCCGGTTCAAGCTCTACCAAATTTCCAAACGACTCTTCGCCACCACCCACACCCAGCTTCCCGCCCTATGACGTTCGGACACTTCACTTCGTGGCATGCGGACGACCGTGGCTACTATTCAGGGCCCCGCGGCCGACGACGACGGCGTGCGCGCGCGAAGAAAAAACGAATGTGTCCCGCATGGTATTATTTGACAGGGATGATGGCCCTGGCAGGTGCGCAACCGTTGTCGCAGAAGTTCGAAAAAGTTGCTCGCAAAAGCCCGTTTGACAGAAATGTTTAAAAAGTGTTGGGTTTCCTACGAATCCGCAAGAGCGCGCGGGATGAGATTTTGACATTTTTTTGTTGAAAAACCATTGGTTTTTTGATGTTTTTATGTTAAAATCGCTGCGAACACTAAGGTTTTGGAAGGATTTCGTCTTGCGCGCGCGAATGTCCACTTTACCTTATTTTTTGCAAGGGATTCTTGAAATTTGATTATATTAGAACAAGAAATGTCATTTTCTATTGTTTTTTGCAAGGGAAAGCGGATTACAACAAAACAACCGGATCCTGTACACACCCTCTTTTCTGAGGCTTCCTCACGAAAATGATGAAAATGTAGCTGCGGCCTAGGCGGCGCAGGGGGGGCGCGCACCAGGGGGCCCAACAATAATTATTCTTTAGAATAAATAATGTTCAACAACAACAAC